TTTCTTTTTTTTTTTTTTTTTTTTTTCCTCCTTAAGACTTGATGATAAAGATACATAAAACAGATTGGGGAATTACAACCAAGGAGTATGTCAGTTCTGTGGAACAATGTTCAAAGGATTAGGTGTTTCCACAGGGTTTGCTTCGTCCTGGTGGCCAGGAGATGCCCCCGAGGCGAATTCCTAATAGCAGCCAGCAATTAAATTTCACATCAACTTTCATTAATGTGATTTTATTGTTCCTCCTTTTTGTCCTTTGTTTCGAAGTACCTAAGCACCTCCTTCCCGCAAACCCTGTCTAATTGTAGTAGTCAGGAGCGATCTGCAGTGCCTCGGCGAGGACTCTGCTCACAGTCCTGCCCCAGAGCAGAGCGCCCGAGGCGTGGTTTGCACTTCTCAGGGCGCGAGGGGCTGGCGAGACCTGGCCCCGAGCTGATGGACGGGCTTCTCTTCTGCTAGGAGAGGTCTGGTTTTGGCAGCAGCAAGCAGGGTGGATGTGGGGTCATACAACTTCGGACATATTCGTGCATGACAGTAGAGATGCAGGCAGCAAACTCCATCCCAAAATGACCGTCTCAGTGGCTTCCAGAGAATACCAACCTTTGCATGGGGAGGGGGAAGCCAAGAAAAACATTTAATCTTGTTCAAAATGATCAGGTGCTGTGAAGGGACGTGTAATGCCCCAAACTGGCTGCGCTTGCCCCAGCACAGAGGTGGCGGTCGTGTCTTGTACAGCCTGGACAGTCTGCTTGAACCCCTGGGGAACATTCGCTCCAAGGAGTCCTTAACTACTCCAGAACAAACCAAATTACCGTGACCTTTAAATACTCGAGGCAAAAGTGATGAGTTTCTGGTAACTCCTGGTATTTGAGTTTCTTGCCATTGGTGTTTTTCGTGGTTTGCGAGGGCTGTGTGTGCGGGGTGAGCTTCGGGGTCTGGTCTGGCTTCAGGCTGCACGGGTACATGCCAAGGTTTGGTTGTGCCTGGAAGGATTCGCATTTTGCCCTTGAGGGTCAGTAGACAAATGGAGAAAGTGAAGGTTATTTTGGTAAATAAAAGGCCAAGTTGTCCGCCCGAGGCAGGGACTTCTAGTAGAGCGCGTGGCAAAGGGGGTCTTAAGGAAAAGATTATTTAGTGTGTAATGGATGGTGAAATACTCCCAGAGGGGGGGAAAATTGGCAGTCGGGCAAAAGTGTCATTCCTGGGAAATCCAGGTCAGGGCAGATGAGCGGAGCGCGTGCCAGAAGGAGCGTACGGGTGGGCTGGGCTGGGGCGGACCAGGGCAGGGCTCGGTTGGACACATGTCCTGGCCTGCTGCTGGTCGCCACCACCAGCCCCTTTCCTACCTCTTTCTGTCCATCCCCCCACTTGGATCTTCCCCCACACCCTTCCCAACATTTTCCTTTAGCAGTTTTGCATCGCCCCACAGCCCCCTTCCCCTGTCACTATCCCGGGTCCTCATTTTTCTCCGTTTTCTCTTCATACTGTTTCAGAAGCTCCTGGTGGCCCAGCAGTGACTGGAGCTTCTTGGTCTTTGGGGTTCTCTGGTTCCCCCTCCTTCTCCGGTTTGTGTCTCCATGTATTCATGTTGATTTTTTCCCCCTGTACTTAGTGTTGAAAAGACCAGTGAGTGGATGAGGTTAGTGAAGCCAACGCTCTCACCTTCCACTTGCAGGATTTAGACTCAGCCGATGCTGAGAGACTGGAGTCATTCCACAGGAGTTTGAGAGGAAAAAATCAAAAGTGAAGAAAGTAAAATAGAAAAATCTGAACAAAGCCATTGTGTGAGGCGCAACCACGTTGTGGGTGTTTGTCTTGGAGCTTCTTCTCTTCTGACTGACTTCGTTTCTCCCTCGGATTCCTCTGCGCCGCTGCCATCAAGGCGGCGATGCCGGGGGTGTCTTTGCCTGAGGAGGGATGTGGAGTGGCTGCGGGGGCTCCCTGTCCCCCCCCCTCCAGCCACACTTGCTCTCGGTGGCACGGCAGCAGCCGCACGGGCCCCGCTCGTGTGGAGCTTTGCCTCTGCCCCAGCGACCTCCAGCCGTGCCGAGGGGCCGCGGGGCGCGTTAGCTGGGTGCAGCCTGTCAGCCTGCTGACCCTCGTGCAGACCTCTCGCCCCGATGGTTTCCAGGGCTCTTTCTGCCTGCTGTCTCCACGCTTGCTGGTCCCAAATTCATTGCTGTTGTTGAATACAAAATAGTGTCTGTCTCTGTTTGGAGGATCGTGGTGTAGCTCTGCCCTTGTGCATTTACCTTGGAATTTTTCCTCGCTACGTGGTGGATTTGCTGTTCACCAGCAGCCTGAAAGATTCCAGTCTGGAGGAAGATCCTTGACATGATATTTGGAGAAGTCTGGTTAAACTTCTACCCCAGGTGAAAAAAACGGTGCACACCATCTCATCAGATGCATTTATAGGTCGGACAGATGAGAGACCAGATTTTATTTGATTCTTGAGCACGGCTCACTAAAAGGAATAAGTTTACTTACTGAAAGAAGAACAAGTTAATGCAGAGAAGATGGTTCTGTAGTAGAGGGCGCACTTCTGCTTCAAAACCAGAACTTGCACTAGGGTGAGCTGAGCTGCACGGAGGAGTTGGAGTTAGTGAAGATCTTACACCAACGCCTCGCGTGGAAGTTTCTGGAGAATGCAGATCCACGGTGAAGACTGGACACCGCATCCAAAGACGCTGGTGAAAACCTGTCACTGGTCAGGATCTGTCTCTTATA